AAGCTGTATAATGTCTGTGCAAAAATGTGGTCGGACGTGGGTTGCATTAAACAATGCACACTGAATTAACAGCATTTTCATATTAACACCATCTGTTATCTTGATTTATCCCTGGGAGGCATTAGCGTTAGTGGGTTATTTATGGAGAGCTTTTAAGCCATCCAACTGTTATCCAAAATGTCAGGATGAGTAATATTTTTTTTTCTAGTGAGGACAAGCTTTTAAAAGCCAGAATAATTAATATTGTCTCAATACAGTGAGTTCCATTCGTAGCCTCAATGGAAAACAAATTGTTGTCTGCATTAAAATTACATCTAAAACTTGGACGCAGAGACAAAAAAAAAAACTGCAAAAATGTCCTGGACCTGCTTGTCCATCACATACTTTAATTATTTATTCATATAACTCTAAGAAAACTCACATTCGTGGGCTGTTCTCAAAACAGATCCTAGTTTTGTGGAAGCTGTGATTTCATCAGTAACGCAAGAAACAAACAGCCATCACTGTTAATTTTGTCATGACAAACAGCTGCTTCTTTTGTTTCTGCTTACATCATTTGTAAACTTTCATGTCCACAGATGTTTGATAATTAATGATTAAAGCTTGATTAAAAAAAAAAAAAACATCAGACGTTAATCGGAAAAATAAATTCCCCAACGTGAGTGCAAACAATTACATTTTGCCCTGGCTCTAGGTCTGCGAATGTGCCAAGCAATCATTGAGTTTTGTCCTTTATCACTCTATCTCTAAATATTTTAACTGTGAGGCAGGGAGGCCTGAGTTAATTATCCATGGCACGCAAGAGAAGGGCCCTGCTGCAGAGTTTATTACTGGGTTAGATGCTTTTTAAGCATTTATTATGTGGTTTTTGATTGTGGAATTGGCTGTGTTGGTCTGTTGAGAACAACAGTGAGTAGGCTTAGGGAGCAGAGGAATGTCCGAGGCAACACTCTTTTCCATACGACACGGGCAGACAACGCCTGGAGTCCCATGAACCTACTTTACCCCTGGTTTGGATTTCAACAAAACTCAGCAAAGAAGTGATGATATCTCAGCTTCCTGATCCATGTTCATCGTTAAAAATGTGACATGCTTGTTCATTTTCTGGGTCTTCTTGGTTCCAGATCACGTTTGCACATCTGGCTCCATAGCGCTAAATTTTTGGCCACCACGCAGGTGCTGAAACACCTGCACTGACTTCACTCCAGAGACACAACTCATCCAGTCTGGATCTCTCTTTTGTGCTGCTCTGGATGGATGGAGCCCAAACTATACAAATTCTTCGTCTTTTATAGAGTCCAATGTTTGGACAAGAAATGAACTTCCATGACCATCGTGCCTAAAGAGTCTGTGTACATCTGGTGCTCACCCATGCCAAACTCTTTCTGCCGACTAGACGAGGACATGAGAACCATTCGACTTTTTTGCTGAAAAATTACTTCTGAGTGAAAATCCCCTAAATACTTACTCACACTTACTACTACTTAGAATCACTTTTCAAAAGGTTAGATATGCAGAAATGTCATAGATGTCTAGAAGTATATGGAACGTAACATGCTGCCCTGTGTTTGTGTTTTCATTTTTCTTTTCTATTGGAAGTTAGAATATCAAAATACCCATATCTATGTATTTTGCACATAATTTATCATTATTTTATGTGAAAAATGTAATGGTTTTGGATTTTGGAAGTTGCACCCCTGCACTTACATAGACTTCTTAACACTCTACCTATACAATCAAGAGTTTGATCCAAAAGGAAGAGTAAACAGTCACCTATAGTCAGTTGTATACACAGACATCCTGAACAGGTTGTACAACCCCTTCAACTTTGTCAAAGTGCCTGCATGCATTCTCCAGTGGCTACAGCACCGAAACTCAGTCGCAGACATTAGAAATAAAAGAGCAGGGTTTGTTTAGGACTCTGCAGTCGGCACCGCAGTGGATGTGGCCTTTTATGGCCCTGTGTGAGGAGTCTCTGGTTTACAGTGAGGTGCACAAATTGGATCTAATCCGCTGGTAGAGGGAAGAGAGGAGAGAGTTCCAGGATTACAGACTCATGGCTCATTTTCACTGCACAGACCTTTGGCCTTTTTAAAAGGCCGTTTGGAAACAGAGAGGAGTGATTTAATAAGATAACACTTTGCTGTTATTACCAAAGAAAGTCAAGGTGTTTTCCACACAGCCTGGAGAACTTGACTGGTTCAGACTTTTGTGAAGTAATGAAGTCACTGAGAAGAGGGGGCGGGGGTGATTGTGTAATCATTTTGCCAATCAAGACTCAAATTACGCTCTGGTTTATATCTGTAGGCAAATGTAGACAACTGTCCAAATGGTTGGTCAGACAGGTTGACATGTGGATTCCAAATAATGGCTAGATTTTTTTTTACATATATATCCAAAAAAGAAAATTCCTAACTTTTAGTCTTTAGTACAGTTTAACAGTTCCCCAAACGTAAATGAGGATATCATCTGCAAAAGCCCTTTGTCAAGCCAATACTTTACCAATAAAATAGTTGGATAAATTCATTCAGCACCAATATAGTTATTTTTTTCCTGTGGGTTTGGATTTAATTACTCATACAGAACAGAGTTTAGAGCAAAAACAGACTGGAACTAAAACACAGGGCTGCTCCAAGATTTACAATGAAAGAAATGTGCAAGAACAAAGGCGATATAAAATGGTGAAATTGGAACGTCTGTGAATGATGTCAGGAAAATATAAGGTCAAACTGAGAAAATCTGAGGCACGAGTTAAGGTCTAGAGCAAAAATGGAAGACCAAGTTTAAAAAACAAAATAGGATTTTCCAGTTGAGGGAAGACTGTGCTTCCTGATTTTCAACCTGAAGTAATGATAGTGCAAGAGATGAAGCTTCTTTGTCAGGCCCAAGTCACAACCTGAAGTAATGATGATGAAGCTTCTTTGTCAGGCCCAAGTCCACCTCTGACAATCCAGAGGCATGACTGATCTGACAGCTCATCCCAGTTGACTCACACAGCCACACATGCTTCACCATCCAATCACACAAGTACAGCTAACGAAAAAATCCCATGACAAAGAAATTAAATACAACAAGAGAATCCAAACCAGAGGCAGCAACAATACCCTGAGGCCTGTGTTACAGAGTGGAAGGATTAAAGTTTAACCAGGAACAGATTCAGGGCAGGTCGGACAGCCTGTGTCACCTCCTGCTGGCGTTTGACTTTTTGCTTAAATTAAACAGGACAAAAGGAAGAACAAGGAGTGTCTGGGTGCAGAATTTCAGTACTCACTATCATCTCCCTCTCTCAGAAACTTTTTTGTGATTTTTTTTGTCTTACCGTCGAAAGATAGGGAAACCCTAGGCACAGGCTGTGGGAGGCTGGAGACCCCGGTGGAGACGAAAAGACAGAGAGCCAGAAGAGAGAGCTCCATGGTGGACACCAGAGGTGGTCTGGCCAACCCCTCCGGCCTGCCCATGACTGCACCGCTCAGGATTGATGATTGATCACTGCTTTCTGAAGGACAGAAAAAAAAAAGGAAAAATATATTAATTTAGGTTAAGGTAGACCAGAATAGATTACAAAAGTAAAATTACAATGAAGAAAACTTAAATCATTTTAAATATTGACTGTAAAAGAGGCCAAAATCTGCAATGGGATTTTAGGTGTTTGTAAAACAGATTGTACATGATCTCAGAAGGAGATGGTAACAGGTTTTGCTGCATTCTGGTTAGGTCCTGCACAAAATATTAATTTGTAAATAAAGGGCCACATGACTTAACTTAATTTACTCAGTTCAAACCCATTAACATTTTGTATAGTTACTTGAACCTCAAGTAAGGACGACCTTAAAAGGCAACTTTTCCGACATGCTGGCTGAGCCATTCCAGACATGGTCACAACACTAGGAAAATTTTGTGGAATATCCAAGGGAGTGGCGGCACCTGAATAGACCAAGACTGATATTTTCCAAAAACTTTGCTAGGGAACTAGTACCAAATGGAACAGCGTGCCATATACCTCTCATATCATGATGTTCTATGAACTCAAATGAGCTGGGAGCCACTGTTGTTTCTGCCATCTCATTGAAGGGCCAAAAGCTAAAAGCAGCAGGTCAGATTACCTATACTGACATCTACTTAGGGGCCTCATATGCCTGGTACCTGAGCCGAAAGCGGACCACGTGGCAGGAGTTTGGGCCCCCTATTCTAGACAACTACAGGAAAATATGTGCAATTGAAGTGCATGAAGTTGCACTAAAATTAGGTTGAAAAGGTGCATTAACCATGTTACAAGGTGGCCAACTGTCCAGTCCAACCCAGGGCCATATTGTACTGTACAGTATATATGGCCTTCACATTCACACAAATAGTTTAAACCTATTTTGCCATTAGTTCTCCAGCAACCTGGTGTCAGGCCCAGAATGAGATCAATCTAGAAGCTGATGTAATAAAGAAACAACACAGGTCTGTCAGTAGCAGCACACCACCAATTAGTATGCCGTAGATGTAGGATGTCGATGGGAGTTCTTCAGTTTTAGATTTTCCCAACTTCCTGCGTCATACAGCCACCGTTAAACATTTAAAAGGAGATTCTGTGCCAACAAGGTCAGGCGACTTGTTTTAAATCTTAATTGGATAAATTGTGAAAATAACAATTTAATTACAGTATCAGCTGGTTGCCAACAACTGTTAATACTTCTGCCTTTATTTGGCGTTATAGATATAGAAAATATACAGCAAAATCCCATTGCAGGTATGGGGAAAATGGATATAAAGTTAAATGTGAAACAGAAGAAATACAGATAGAGAAACAAATGACTTATCTTAGGTATCCAAAATAATAAGAAGAAACAAACATAATGGGACCCAGACTAGAAAAGACAGACAGTGCATACAGCAGGAAAGGATTGGACACCTAGAAAAGACAGACACGTGCATACAGCAGGAAAGGATTGGACACAGGTGGAACTGATTAACAACAGGTGAAACACATCAGGGAGGAGTGGAGCTCACACAGAGGTGGGTGAACATAAAAACATGACATGGAAAACACAAAACTGGACTGGAAAACAGAATAAACAGTTTCATCAACATCTACTCCTGCGACACCATTTCAGATGCATTTACAGCAACCCCTGCAGGGAGTTGAAGGTAATTTGTTTTAATTTTTTAAAGTGGGACTAAACACTGCATATTCCTAAAATAAAAAAAAAGTGTCTACCATTAATTCGTAGATTTATGCAGGTTTAGGTCAAATAAATATTATAAATCAGAGTTTAATCATATTCTACATCATGTCTTGCTGTGAGGAATAATAAATGTTTCAGAAGTATGATTGATGCAGACAATTAGTTGTGACTGTAGCCTAAACTGTGTTAACTGTATTGCTTGAGAAATGTACAGTAGATCAGAGCTTAAAATGTCAAACTGATCTTTTCTCTAATCCCTACATCTGGCAGATGCAGTTTCTTAAAAATGGATGAGTTGAATCTGCACAAAAGAGCAGCTGCGGGCAAAAACACATTCTTGTTTTCACTTGTTTTTTTTGCTTCTATAACAGGACAGGAGATGTTCAATTATTGATTGAGTAAGTTGCCGTAGTGTACCGTGGTGAACTGATCTGTCGGCCCAAACTCCTCAAGTCCAAAACTCCACAGCAGGAGAAACAAGGCTGGCTGGTGGAGCCACTCAAACTGATTGTTTGTCTGCTTGGGTTTGACAAAAATCGATGTAAAAAATGCCTTGTTAAAATCAAAAAGACAAAGAGAAGTTTTATTTTCCCTACTTTTTCTCATGACTTATTGATGTCTAATGAAAGATTGATGGCCCAGAGAAGAGAAAGCAACATGGTTGCTATGAAAATTTCATTTTGGGGGCTGTTATGTACAAATAGGTTGTATATGGGTTCCTCTGCATGTGTGTGTGTGTGAATGTGTGTGTGTGTCGAGGCGTGACTGATTTACAGCAGAGGTGCTCTTCTGCTGCTCAGGTGCGTGAGGGAGAACATATGGAGAACTGCCGAAAGAAAGGAATCTCTGTGGCTTCGTGGTGAAGAATGAAAACAGCATGGGGTTTCAGCAGGCTCCTGCTGCACCACACACACACACACACACACGCACACACACAAATGTTCAAACCAAAGTCCTGGGACTCATCCTTTGTCCTGTTCTCGCTTCTGTTTCCAAATTTTAAGCAGTTCCTTTCTCTACGTTGCCTTTGTTAAGATTTACACAGATATATTCTTGGTCTGATCAACAGGAAAACATTTCTTGTAAGGTTTGTTATAATTCCAATATAAGGCCATAAATATAAATACTCATAAATACTCACACAATAAGACATACAACATATACATGACATACATGTCCATTTTCCTCTAAATAGGATCAGATCTACCACACAGGCAACATGACTTTATTTGAAGAGACTTTCAACTAGCATCTGAGACCATGAACCCCTCAAAAAAGGTATTGTTTTAAAAGTGAAATTTTTTCCTCAATGACGCATCAGTTGAGTGAATTTATGTCTTCTAGAACCAGATAGCTCGTTTGATTTTACTTTAATTAGAGAAGGCATGGAAATCCAGGTTTGTCTTCAGTCTTAATTGAACTTCTGGGAACACACTGTAAATGTATTTGATTTACATGGTCATAATTTAATCTTCCGTCTTTACACCAGGACGGACTCTTATTTCCTGGTTCTGTTTGTTCTGGTTTGAGACAAAGAGCTGTTTCTCAGGAGTTTCTGGCTCCAATTAGTCACCGTGTAAACAGCTACGTTTTGTCGATTATGCACCGTAACAGTACCGGACATAAAACAACAAATGAATTTTATCCATTTACATTAACTCCATATGTGGCTAATGCAATTAGTGCCAGTGTGGTAAATGGAATGAGTTTGGAGTCTAAGGACGTTGAGTAACTGTAGGACCTTTTGACCTTTATGCACATCTATTTATTTACTTTGTCTAATCCTAACCAAATGTTTGTGTTTTTTTGTCAGGGAAACGCAGGGGGGTTGAGGGTGAGGGGGCTATTAGGGTATTAAAGGGGGACTATAATTAGATATAATCTGTGCTCTTGCCGAATCCATATTCTGACAGAGGTATTGTTGCCACAAATTGCTATAACTCCTATAATTTCAATAATGGACCTGGTCTTTCTACAATCTGTGCCCTGTCTTCATGCAGCACAGTGATTCGTCCAACTCTCTGGAAAAAGTGTCTGGTACTCAGCTGTGGGTCTCACAGCTGCTAAAGCCATCGTCCTGCAAGTTAGTCACCTTAGGAGCATCTCGTAATGTGCCACCAGATCAGGTTCTGACACTTCCTGAGTTTCAGAGTCAGCGCCGTGATGTCTTTGATCGTCATAGAGAGTAACGCTCTCTCACCCTCCTGAAGCCCCCTCTCCCCCTTGTATTTCAGGTCTGGATTAATGCTTGTCCCAGTTAAATGTTCTCTGCAGTTCAAGAATAATAAATACTTCAAATCAAGTTCCTGAGCTCATTTAATTCCAGTAATTCAAGCGCCGAACATTGACCAGGAGTTGACCAGGAATGAGTCTTCTCTAAGTGTTAACAGTACCAGTGGGGTGCAATAATCACGCGTTTATTGTGCATTCCTCTGGCTGAGAGCCTAACGAGTTTCCCATGTCACTTCAGAAAAAAAAAGTCCAAACACTAATGTCCTCTAAAAAGCATGGATGGACAAAGAAATGAACACGTTTCTGTCCCCATTTCTCAGATCAGGGTCAAAGTTAATTTCAATGATTACAAACATTGTTTTGATTCATCATTCAATTCACTGGAATTTAAAATAAAAATCAAAAACAAGTTTCACCCTGTCCTGTCTATCGCAGGGCAGATGGGTGCTCATACCACACCCTGTCATTCAGTTGGCATACATACTGTACACACACACACAAACAGTGGTTTTTGTGATTTGTGAGGACTTCTCACAAATAGGCACAATTCATCCCCTTACTGTACCTTAACTATTACACATATTTGCATAATATTAATTCTTCCTCTAACTCTCATGTGACCATAATTCTAATCCTAACCCAAAAATGTAATTTTGAACCTTAAAATACTATCACAATGTCTCCACAATGATTTAAAAAATGTGTCCACAAAAGTATAGCTATGTCAGAAACACAAATCTCTGTGTTTTCTGAGCACTTTACGTAGACATAATTCAGATAAAAGTGTGTGTTAAGTCTTAAAACGTAACACTCAGAGACACGTGAATGTGAATCTCAGAATCCTGTTATGTTGCAAGAATCTTTGTCATTTTTATAATGATTAATACATATGTGCATAATAAATAAAGTATTTAGCCAAGTGCATAAAAAAAATCAATGTTAAATCTTATGGCAAAAAGTTCTGCAAAAACAACATTTTTTTACAATATTATATGCAATTAAAAATGTAAGAGTTTTTTTTAAGATGGTAAAAGTAAAGTTACAACAACAAATTAAGATTGGTCAATCTTATTCTTATTCTGACTTATTTTCAGCCCTGGGACTCAGGACTGCACCTGTCAGGCACAAGCCTGCCACCTTCCCTGCATCCTGACTCACTACACTGCACTGCACTACAGTAGACTTACTCTACTTCAGTTAAAAACTATTATTACGCATAGACATGTTTCAGAACAGTACCCGGTCCACAACCCACCTCTTTGGAGACAGGTCCAGCAGCAGTAGTCCCAGTAGAATTGTCCTGAAATCCCCAGACCAAAGCTGGAATGTATAAAAACACAGAGTGTCCCGTCTCCTCCTGTGAGTCCAAAGAGGAAAAGTGCTGTTATTCCATGGAAGACTTGACTGAGAGAGTCAGGGAGAGAAGAGGAGAGGACAGGAGAAGACAGGAGAGAGGGAGGAGAGGCTGGTGTCCTATTACAGACTCTGCGCTCCAGTCCCCCTGCCCCTCCTTCCCCTCCTCCCCCTCTGCCACCCCTCCCTCACACAACT